TTGTCCGGCTGCAAACCCAGCCAACGTTATTCTGTTCTGAATAAAATCTTCTTCCCAAACGACGTCCCACTTCTTGCAACTTGGAGTATGGCCTGAAGTTGTAGCGCACTGAGCATACCCTAGCGATATCAACTCCACGATGGCATTACGGCGTGCGTTACGGACAACTGAGCCGTCTCAGAGGCATTCACAATGACCAACCGAGTGATGCAGGTCGGCGTCCTGGCGTCCATCCTCTTTAGTCTCTTGGTCTTTTACGATGCCGATGGACGCCTACTATGACGAACGCCCCGAGATCCGCATCACCTACAGAACGGACGGCCAAATCCACAATCAACTGCTGATTCACTTCCAGTCGCGTGTATCCATAACTGTCGTCCACCAACTTTGCTTCGCTGACGGTTGCGCTCTCAACGACACCTCAGAAGGGAGCATGGAAAAAAGCATGGAGCTCCTCGCCGCCGTCATCCTTTGCAGATTCCGTACTAAGCTGTTCTGCTACAGTTTGTGTTCTGAAGACGGCGTATATTCAGCCTTGTCTCAAACTAATTTCGCACAAATGGAAGTTAAGTCCGGTCATCGTCATACGGTAAGATCCTTTGACCCATGTCATGTATTCCTGAAAACAAATGGGTCTCATAATGTAATGATGCGCTTTAGAAAATACGCTCCTACCGAAGATGACTGAACCCCCACCCCCTTTTTCGTTAGATGCATGAACAGAATCATCTTCGCTACACTTTGCGTGCTCGAATAAGAGGATACTTTCGCAATCCTTGGTCCCATACCAGTGATTCCTTCTGTCGCCTCCGTTTAAAAACGGCGAACTCGACAGGAAATGGCCACAAAATCTAGTAGGCTCAAATGCCGACGGTCTCAAACCTCGGCAACGCGTGAACTACCAAACCGTACGTCAAGTTAGTGCTGGGTACTCTGCACTGGGCCACCTTGTGAACGATGTGAAAGACTGCTTCAGTATTGACAAACAAACCAGAGGCGAACGCTGGAATGAGCACTTAAAGCGTCCAAACTCATGTGCGGCAGAGTTCTATCCCTATTTAGCCTAGGAAGTTTCATGTTTGAACTAGACTATCCAGGGGCATTACATGATTCTGACGTACATGCTGTTTGCAGCTCCGTCAATCCACTTAAACATCAGTACTAGCCTCTTAGACGACCAGACCGAAGATGTCATGTCCTTGTCAAATTCAGCTGAATCTTCTGGTGCTTTGAGAGTCTCTACCTTATTTGTTGGTTTCGGTAGTGTTGCATTTGCGCCTAAGCGCCTGACTACTGATCTAGCATACACCATCGATGCCGCCCTGGTGACCTACAGGCTTTGGAGTCGCGGATAGATGAAGTGGCTAAACCAGTCAGCTTATCCAAAAGCTTTCGGAGAGTCAATGTGTTTCCGAGTTGCATCTGTGACACTTTGGGGCTAACGGCTGTAACCATAAAGAGGTGGGCGTTACCAAATGTCCCGCAGTGTTGCTGTCGAGAAATGTATAACAAAGGACGACATCCTTTCATGAAACCTGGATCGATCGATCCACGTTGAAGTACAGTGTCGGCGGAGGCGGTGGGTCTGGTCTTCCAGATTATCCGTCTCAGATCGGCACATGTAGAGAGGTACATTTCGATACATCACCAAACCCGGTTTGATCAACCATGCTCACAGCTGCATCAAGCACGTGTATGTATTGTCGCTCAATTTACTATGTACTCAAATTATCATTATTATTTTTGTGCATGACAACATGGTGCGCCCGCTTCCTACACGTGGGGGAGGGAGGGGGAGGGGAAGGAGGAGGAGGAGGAGGAGGAGGAGGAGGAGGAGGGTAAAAGAAGCACTGGGGAAAATAGGGGGGGGATTAGACTGAAAATACATCGGAAGGAAAAGACAAGAAGGAAGAAGGGGAATGGGACGAGCAGGAAAAGAATGAAGGCAGGGGTGACATCGTAGGGATAAATGAGGTGAAGGATGGAACGGATAAGGAGACAAAGACGGTAGAATGACGCTTAATGTCTGTATAGAACCGTGAGTATTTATTTTATCCTAAGCACTATTTTAGTCGTACACTCAGTCGCCGGACTCACTGGCATTTCCGCTGGCAAAAACTCGCTGAAGAGTGTTTGAGGAGTTTGTAATGATTATGGTGGAGGATTCCGCATGTGCTGTCGCTCAAACGCTTACGCCGCATAGCTCCTCAAACCTTCTTGAGAAATGATGAATTTGTCTGACTGAGAGCCTAACCGATGTGCGCGTACGGCAGCTCTGCGCAACGTAGGTCCCTGTCGTTCGATCCTGATCTGAGTGTTTTGAGGTCAGCTGAAATGTGCATACACCGACACGCAAGGTTTGACGCACATATCATGCTTCACCCTTGTGCGGCTGCGAGCTGCAACGTGGCTAAGTATGAAATCAAGTTAGCGGGACAGCGTTATTTCTGCCGAAGCAGACATCGTCCCTTTAGGAAACGAAAAACATCAATTAACGGTACGACGACGGTAAGGTAGAGTACCCCACCGAACTGTCGGTAGACTGTGATTCATGTCATACAGGAATGATGGTGGTGGATTTACGGGTGGAGCCCTTCACACTACCGTTGCCAATGTTTCTCTAATGCTTTTCAGCATAGGGACTACTGAGTTATGTCACGCTTGATTTATTGTGTCACAGAATTAGAAATGAAATAACTAACCGATGCGCGACTGTGCCTTATACCGCAGAGCATTAAAACGGGTTCGGTAACCATTGGGAGATGGCACCTATAAAAGAAATAATACCTACTCGATCTATTTGAGTAGGTTATAGCCCTACATATTCGTTGCGTCATCCGGGTCTGCCAAGCACCAGCAACGACTCTTGAGGTTACCAGCGACAGCACTAGTCCGTATGCAGCTTAATCAATGTCGGCATATTTGCTTAACGATAGCTGTTGACCATCCCTGCTATTGCCAACATTGAGATAGGTTTCCATAGCCGAATTACGACCGTGGCAGTCGGCCTGACCTTCAGTCCACATACTGACTTCTATTATCAAAACCTACACTTACACAGCCACTAAGCATGGACACAGTCGGGGCTTTGGCATTGACAATACGGGAGCACTCAAGCGTTCAATCGCAGGAAACGCCAAACCACAAAACCAAGACCTTCACAATAGCTATAGAGCGTTGCGAAACCATCGTCTTAGACCCTACCTTCCTTTTTGCAACGCATGGCAGTTTACTTTAGGACAGTTGATATAAAATCGCAGTGGATCAAGTGTAGAGCACGCAATATGCTTCCATTGCTGAAGTGCGAGCACAGCAGCCGATATGTGTCATCGTACATACTGGCATTCATTTGGCGCAGTCAGAGAGCGAACATTGCAGACCAAACGACTGCTTAACATCCATGCTGGAGGCTATTACGGTCGACGAGTGCCACCACTAGAACTTTTTCGGCTTATTCAGCCATAACATCCTACGGCTTAGTCGCAAAATGCTCACTGTGCATACCTTACGACTGTAGTGGAACAATCGCCATAGACCAAACACACTTTTTATAACATTGTCATAAGCATCCACATTTGAGGCATCGGTCTAGACAACTTGATGGCACGCGTTCCTGAACTTCGCAGGCTTCAATGAAAACTGTGGTCAGCATTCAACGGAGTCTGGTCATATTCCCCGCTTTCAACAGTGGCCTCAATTGTTGCCGGCATACTTGTACGCACTACTTGAACTTTCCACGACCGCCTACCATGGGCTGGCCCTACGTTCTCATTATGTCTGGGAGTGCACGCGCAGAAACCCTGTCAGCATGACTTTCTTCTTCACTTTCATCGCCCCGAGAACGCGGCGCTGCAAATGTCTATATAAACTCATTGTATTGCATTCCCCACATGGAAATCTTTAGTAAAAGGCCAAAGACTTATCCTAGGCTTTGACAGGTTTCAGCCAGGTAGGTGGTCCACCTACTTAGCCAATACGTCCTCATTCCCTTCGCTCTCGTACCCGTACCCAAGTCGGTTGAACAGGCATAGGATCGGTATCAGTATCAAAGTTTATCTAAATTCATTTTTCATATTAAACAGGAAAGGCTTCAGTTATATGCGACAAAAAGAGTTCCCAGGCATCTTTCAGACACATGGCATTAATGCCAAACCATAGACGGTATTGCACTTCGTCTATGTGGGCCGAAACAGCTCGACCGCAGACGGGGCCTCCTTCGTGTAACTTCCGCTTCAACCGACTGCAATACGCCTCAATGGCGTTAGTATGACGTCCTGTGGTCGGGTCGTTTAAGTGTTTGGAGTGATTGACGGAAAAATGAATATATCCTTCTGAGGAAAGACAACTGTAGGCCTTCCACTCGTCCGTCACCACTATACTTCCTTTGGCTACCCATTTCGTTATCACGGAACGTAGAGCAGGCCAATTTCGATCGTTTATATGCTCAAATATTGCTTTGCGTTTGCTCGTGTTGTACATCCCCAACATCCACCATTGTCTTTTCCTCTTGCCAACATTATACTTGCGTCGGCTTATTAAGGTTTCGTCGACTTGCACTTCCACACCAGGTCCTCCTATTTTCTTCGTTTGCTTGAGGAGCGCTGCTGAGTAAACATTGCGACACTGGGCATATCACTGAACAGCTGTCCAGTTGTTTACACCAATGTCTTTGGCACATTCGCCAACCCGAATTCCTTTCAAAAGCCAGAGGATAAACTTCAGGATAGTCGTTAACGTTGACCGACTATTTTCAAATATACTTCCCGCTCTTACGGACTTCCTCTTCCGGCATCGAGGACATCGAAAAGCAACACCGTCCGAATTCCGACTGCGTCCTTCCAGTTTCATCCACTGCCGGCACTTGCACATCATCTGCATAGGCAACACTTTTCTCCGCTGGCAATATTCGACCACATTTTCCGATTTAATGGCATCCAATATTTTCTGCGTTTGGCTTACATGGGTTATGACAATTCACGGTTTCCGTTTACTGCTTGCGTCTACCAAACTATAAAACAAAAATTAGATTTACTTTTCTTAAAAATATCCTTATTGCATATTCCTTGCTATGGCAATATACTAAACATGTATTAAATTTTGGGACATACTATTCAATCGTTGGTTATTTATCCAAAACGCATTAGAATTTGCCTACCATTAAATTATTCACTTACTGTGGTATTTCGTTTCTCTCGATAAGTGCTTCACAGGTACTCAAGCGCATAGCGTTAGACGTCATGGTACACACGTTCACTAACTATTAATAACGACAGCCAACAGACCAATACTACTTGTTTACCATTCGTCACGGTTTCTTGGATATCTGATCACAGGTGCTAAATTGGTCCCCGGGTTGCTTAAAATGATACATGTGTAAGGCACTGCTATTTACTTTTCATTTACCGCGCCGGCTTCCGTTGCCATATAGTGATGAAGTAAAACTTTATCATTTAAAGGGAAATTTCATAAAAAATATCTTTCTATTATTCACATTTATCCACGCATCCCGAAGGCCCCACCCGTAAAACCCCCTCTTACCACCTATCCCGTAAGACAGGCACCTTTGGTTGAGAGGATTTTTTAGGTGCCATCTCCCAATAGTAACCAAAGAGGTTAGGCAGTATGCACAGCAAGGCGACCACTTCTGGCTGTAATGGCGCAGTGCGCATGGAAAACCTCCAACGGCATGTCAGGTGATTTAACGCTTATGTGCCTTGTAAAATTGGCTAGGCGGATGAGGCAAACGAATGGCATGAGAGAGAGGAAAAGAAGGAAAGAAGTCAATCTATTGTGTGTTGTTTTACCGAGAGCGAAAACGGCGTTGGAGGAGGTGAGAAGAGTGAACAAGCGACGAGGCTGCTTCATGTCGGCCAGCTTTGTCCACTGGCCGAGAGGGTTCCCGGCGTCTGGCGGTGAGAACATCTCCACCACGTTGAGAGTCTTTCCACCGGCGACCAGGATTGCTCCCCGAAAATGCGTTGCTGCGAGGTCAGATCGTGCAGTTCTCATGGCGGCAGCTGGCTGCCGAAATTCTGCGGCGCGCGCTGATGTCGCCTCCTCCCGCCAGTCTGCGCGCAGATTGCAGAAGACCACGGAAGCCAGCCGGGAGGAGCCATCCCAGCCGCCAAAAACAAAAATCCGACTGTCGCCGGGCCGGCAGGCAGCAGCTGGGGCGGACCTCTTCTCCGGCAGATCAGACAATTTGTGCCATCTGTTCGGGGCAAGCGAGGTGGGAAGTGAGTAGAGGGAGAGAAATATTATTTTGCAAAAAATAGATGCGTCACAACCAGCCATTTATCACCTGTCCTGACTTACGTCGAAGACTTCACAGGAGGCGAGGTTTGTCCAGTTACCACCATCCTCGAATGCTCCACCAAAAATGCTAATCAGCGTCTCCTCTCCGTCGACGGCGGCCGCGGCGTGAACCTTCACGACGGTGGCGGCGCGCGCCTGACGTCGATCAGCGAGGGGCGCCCGTTCGCGCCATCGTCCTTCTCGCACCAGAAACTCGTCAACATCAACTAGCGCTGTGCTGTTCCATCCTCCACCGACAACGAAAATGCTCTCTTTCGGAAAGACAAATGTAAAAATGCCCGGTTGGGGGGGGAGTCAAGAGACTTTACACAGAATAACAGTCACTTGCATAAAATCCCTAAGTAGGCACCAGTTGCAAAAAAAGTTTATCTGGCTAAGAGCCAGACTTATTGACTTTTTTCTTCCTGCAAAACACAAAATTCTGTAATGCTGCTGCAGACAGAGTTGGTGGACTTCAACAAGCAAAACATCCAAATCAGACAAAATTCGCCGAAGAGGAGACGCAGAACTCTCCAACAACTCACCGCCCACGACGCTGTAGGAGCTGAGCCAGCGCCGCGTATTCATGTCAGCAACGCGTTCTGCCTTATGCAGATGCCGATTTACGCGAACGACAAACCACCTGCCCTGCCCACCTGTCGTTAGATCGCATGAAATGCGGAGTACTGTATTGATTTTGGCTGCGTTGTTGTTGTTGTTGTTGTTGTTGCCAAACGAGGTACACGCGAACCAATTTCGCACGCCGGTGCAATCCGCTCAGTTTGACGACGTCCACGGTTATCAAAACACTAGACCATCCGGGAAAAGCTACGTGCACGTGCTGCGATCGATATCAGGCTTCGTGTTGAGAGCGATCAATTTTATCTCGCCAGGTGTGCAGGCGTCATGGCCCAGGGCCTACAAACTCCAAGTGAGCTGCCGATAGGGGTCTGGCCATCAGACACGCATGGGTGGTGTTTGCAACATCGGGGCATATTAAGGCAGATAGTATCGACTCGCATAATCGTATCTTAAGCGTGGACTTCTACTGCAACTACGGCTTCCACCAGGTCTACTACTCCTCATGGTCCTATTACTGCTAATACTGCTACAAATGCTCTCACTTCTACTACTACTGCTACTTCTACTACTACTACTACTACTACTTCTCCTGCCGCTAATACTACTATTACTACTGCTGCTGCAGGTTTTCTGGTCTAACGTCTCGGATTCTCACTCGGAGCCATCATCAGAGACGTTCGTAGATAAGTGATGAAGACACAAAGAGTACAGAATCCAAAGCAAGCATTTATCCTCCGGCGTGGCTAAACCGGAGAGGTTTAGGTCCATTCACGATCAGCCAGCTAACATGACATACATTGTGTCCTACGGATCATTGCATCACCATCTCAAAGATGAGGTTCCGTCTGCAATCCCACAGGAGGCTACAAGGTAAGTGAACCCCCATGTTAACTGAATACCGCTTGGTCGACTTGCCTGCCTGCGGTCCGAACCAAATCTACATTCTCAGGTCAGAAATCTTAATTGTTGTTATTTCGTAGTGCACCTATTTTCTACACGCAACACTTTGCGGATACTTCCCCGGTGGACTTTTAATAAGGTATTAGGTAGTTTAATGCCTGTACAGGTGAAAGACTATCTCATCTCAGCTAGCAGGTCAAGAAAGTGGCAAATGTATCTCGGTCATTTTGCAGTGGGAAGTCAACGTATGATTAACGGCGAAATGCTACAGCATGAGGAAGCAGGGAGTAGATGCAGAAGCACATACTAACACTACAAACATTCAAGAAAAGCCCACTTGTACTATTTGCATTGCGTAGAACCGGCATCGAACATATTAACTAGCCCACTCCGACGTCGCATATGCTGGACACCGCTCCGACGTTAAGAAATAACCAATGTCAAGGCTGATTTATTTGCATGTCATTTATTTTTAGTGTCAATGCAATGGAGGGCACTCCAAGTTAACATGAAAAAATAAGTAAGCGCAGACATTTACATGCGGACGACTGCAGCGCCGGCAATGTCGTCAAGTGCCTCCACCAGGCTTTTGGACGACCAGACCCAAGATGTCAAGTCATTGTCCAAGTCAGCTGAACCTCCTGGTGCCGTGAGAGTCTCTGCCGTGTTACTCGGTTCGTCCAGGTTGCCTACAAATTTTGCATAATTATAGTGAAGTTTCACTTGAGGAAAAATAAAACAGGAGAGAAAAGATTTTAAAAAGGGAGGTTAGGCAGTATACACAGCAAAGCTACCA